CCCGTCTCAATGAGAGAGAAAGAGGAGAGGCCGATCGATTCGCGTCGACGTACTACTATGGCCTGCTTACGCGGAGAGCACTGACCCCCAAGGTCGTTCTTACGCGGCTGCACGTGCTGCCCGCGAATTGACGTCGGTCCCCTCTCTCCGTCCGCCGATCGTCCCCCTTTCCCTCCCCCCTTCCCTCTCTCTCTCTCTCTCTCTCTTGCCCTCACGTCCCGGCCTCGCGGAGTGACTTGATCCGCCGTCTCCCGTCGCTCCTCTCTCTCTCTCTCCGCGCTATCAAGGCACCACACCGACACGCTACACGCTTGCTTTCGCGACGACGGTGACGACGGGCGCGACGGACGACCGCCGACCACTTCTGCGGCCTCCTCACGGCGGCGCGTGTGACATATGCATTCATAAGGTACCGATATTCGTGAAACGATCGTGACGAGTGGGTGAAGGGAGGAGGAGGGAGGAGACGATGGAAGAGAGAGGGAACGGGATCGGTCACGCGGGACGCGAGACGCACGAGAGGGGGGGGGGACTTTTATCGTGGAGTCCACAGGTGGATCGCGCGCGCACGCGGCGCCTTTCAATGCCGCGTGTCTTATAATAAAAGCGCGATGCTAATTTTTTATGTAACCGCACGTACAAGCGAGACGGTAATACGTAATCGTCAGAGAGGTCTGGGTAGGTCGTGTCCGCGATTTGCGGCAGGAATTATCACGTCGCGATTTCAGTTAGAGACTGAATTCAGGGTCACGACGGTGATCCTCGCCGATCGTAGATCGCTATATATATATATATATATATGTTCCTCCACATTCCCCAGTTACGTATGGTAGGTATATATTTACCGCCACGTCCTCGGCAGATCCGCAATTAGTGCTTCGACATTTATCGTGCGGGGGGGAGGAGTTCGGTCGGATTACCGGTTAATGAATATCAGCCGTTACCGCACAACGTTACAACCGCGGCGTTAGCTCGTCGCTCGTCGCGCGGCAGTAGCGAGCAGAATGATGAACGCTGCCTGCAGGCAGTCTGTATAAATCGGTGCGACCGCGACGGCGACGTTCCACGTGCGTGCGCGCGGCGCGGTCGTGCGTCATGACCGACGACGATCGCGCGCACACAGAGGCATGCGGGATACCAATGCGAGTGAATTCCGCTGCGCCTAGAGTTATCTCTCTCTCTCTCTCTTTCTCTCGTGCGATTATTAGCATATATTCTAACGTTCAATTGCACGCGCGACGTCGGCCACTTCCGCGTTCCCGTCGCACGCGAGTCACGCTCTTGCTCGAGCTTCGGCTCCTCTCCTCGCTCGTCCAGCACACGCACGCACGTCAGTGTGCTAATTAAATGTGTCGCGGAACATCGCGAAAAATTTGAGGCACTCCCTCCGGCCGAGATATTCGCATAATGATGTCAGGTGTGGAAAAGGGAGAGAGAAAGAGAAAGGGAAAAAGAGCTTTTAATTTGACTTAATTTCTACGAGCTCTGAAAAGGGAGATGGAAGCTACTGATCGCATCGTGATACGCGAGGATAAGCACTTATTTGTTAGTAATTAAGTGATATTTAAAGAAAGACTTTTAAAAGTGATAATTACAACAGAGTGATTACCTCTTTCCTTCAACCGTTATCGAAGCGTGTATCACTTTAAGTAACTCGCGTTAAGTGGAGCAGCGCCGTACACCGAGCGCGCGATTACCGAGTGCTTATTATTTGAAGCCTCACGACGGTCCCCGGAGGGAACGAGGAGGGCCAGCGCGGGGGCTGAAATCGCGCAAATACCGTAGCGCCGGGCTTAGAGGCGCGTGCGAGTAAATCAAAGCCTCGCGTGCTAACTTAGTCGTCGTTGCGTCGCTATTTCGAGACCGTTTTCGCGCGCCTTTTCCACCGCGGCGCGGCGCGGCGGGGCGAACCGACGACGCCCTGGCCGCGCGCCAGACTCTCGGCGAGATTCATATATATATATATATATATATACGTCCGAATGGATCAGGGCACGTGGAGAAGCGCCCGCTTCGACGATGAGGCAGCACAGCGAGACCCCGTGCTCTTGTGCGCACGTGTATACAGGTGCGCGCTCGCGCGCGCGAGGTTGACAGACGTCTCTCGCCTTTCTTCCTCGTGCCTGCACGAGTGTCTCCTTCCGCTTGTCCTCGTTTATGAGCCCCGGGGCTCTGAAATGTTACGGCACCTATGGAGCGGTGCCAGAAAGGGCAGCATACGCACGCTGGAAGAACGGGAGCGCTCCTCGGTGCCGCGGCGCCGATTGAATTCCTCTCTTTGATACCGCAGGCACGATACTTCACGCGTGTATCCCCGCGATACGTTTGGCATACATCCGCGCAAACGCCCGTGGCCTTCGACAGCAACGAAAAACGTTTCTTTTTAACTCATCAGAGAAAATGATAAGCAATTTAACGTGATCGAACGGATATTTCAATATAATAGAAAAGTAAATAATACAATAGCAAGCGCGTTCTGAAGGTCGGAAAACGGTTGGATCGTCTTGTCAAACACACGTTATTACGTAGTTATGTGCCTAAACGCGAGAGACGCACGAAGCTGCGTGACGTCTTCGCGTGCGTACGGCAGTTTGCGACGGCTTGTACGAAGGACGCGAGATCGCGGCATAGAATCACCGATAAGACCTGACAGGGGCGTCGTTTCTCGACGAGTTCATTAGCCAACAAAAAAAAATATGAAGCATTCCTTCGAATTTTTTTTCGGTCAAGGAACTCTCGTGGGCCTCTCGATCGGAAGGAAAGTATTACCGGTTGTCCGCAAGCTCAGCTCAACTTGGATTTTATACAAAACAAAAAAGGACTATCAATCAAGAGGTTTAAGATAACGTTCAAATCGCGTGGCAATCGCGTCTCGGGAAGCACACAGAAACATTAAGTATGTAATAAGTTAATAACGGCCTATTGCGCTTTATTACGTATGAATCACCTCGAATATATACCGAACGAGAGAGAATTGACTCAATATAAAGATAAGATAAACTGCTCGGCGGATGCGAAATGATCGCCGCGATGGAATTATACTACAACAATTCAGAGACGCGAACGGGTTAAAGCTGCAAGAGAGAGAAAGGGGAGCGATCTCTCACTCTCTCTCTTTCACGTGTGAATATGACATCGTCGAATCGTATTACGGAAGTGCCCTTGTCGAGAGAGTTCGCGGTTGCATCCGTACAAGAGGAATCCGGACCAACCGGATTTCCATCGATTGTGCCAGGCGCCGCAAATGGCGTAATTTGCAGAAACGCCCACGGTTTCATATGTCATCCAGAACGCCTCCTTGGCCACATGGTCTACGAAAAGACTCGATGTCAAAGGCTCGGAATTGTCCTTCGTTTTTACGACCTGAATTATTGCAGTGTCACAGTGACTTTGATCGATTTCGTAAGGGGATTTTTTCCCAACGTCTTAAATTTCTTTTTTTTTGCAGAGAGATGTAAAATTTATTACGGTAATAAAATACCATAATTATCTTTCTCAATCTCATTTCTTTTAGTTTTATTTAGATAAATTTATATATATAATTCTTTCTCTCTAAAATGTAATTTCGAAAAAATAAAACTCATTTCAAATACTTAAAAATTTTGAAGTATCAAATATATTTTTATTTTTAATTATTACTTAGATTATTTTTATTTGTCAATTATTAATTTATTATTTATACAATGGCTACAATTGTCGTACATTCCGAGCTGTGCAGGATTAAAGTATATACGCTTTAATCGTTCTCGCAAACCATTGCTGTTGTATATTATGTACTTCGCGATGTGAATTTCCTTTCCCCCCTTTAATTAGTCTGCCGCGGCCCACCTAATCTACGCCTTCCCCTGAAATCTGTGTCTGCCAGACTTTTATAAGTATTACCTGGCAATGTGCTATATAGTTTCTCATGTAAAAAGCAGCGTCTGGAGGAGGTTGGACAGAGAAACGTATTTTTTAGTAGCTTCTCTTTCCTCGTCCGGAAATATACATTGTGCATGTCAATGAAACATGGTGCATTGATCACGTGCTGATGACACCAATGCGAGCATAATGAAAATGTCTGTGTGCTTCTTCTATCGTGACGAAGGAAAAGTCTCCTGATTCCGTCCGTTCACCTGGCGTAAGATGCAGTAAAACTGCCGATTCCGAGTAATTGATAAACAGATCCGAGTGCTCTAATTCGATATCTCTTCCGGCGTCTCGAATTAAGTAAGTCTCGATCAATCGCTGCAAAGCGGTATCAAGATTTTCGTCATTTCCGTTCTTAAACTGTACTGCACACTTGACATTGTGCCTCCTCGAGAACGCCCCGATAATAAATCGATCGTAATTCGGTTCTGTCGGATTCGTCAATTTCGAACGTGATCTCAGCCTCGACTACCCGAACCATCCAGATAAGGTTGAAGCGTCCGGTGTTTGTAAACACGAGCCTTGATATTTATTCCGTCACAATTTTGCGACTCGACAGCACTTGCCCCGTCCGCGGGTAAGAATTTTGACATAAATATTATCGCGCACCAACCGCCATTGTACGATTTCAGGTTACGGAAAAGATCCGCTCGATTTCATCGTATGTCGATTATGTAACACGATGTTTTCCGATCCTTCAGAACAGATTCGATTGCGTGAACCAATGCCTAATGCATTTTATGAAAGCACTTTATGAATAAATGCCGACAAATTGTCAGGCTAGCTGTTTTTGTAGAAATTTTTCATGACTGTAGATACCTCATAAACACGAATAATTCTTAAGTGAGATATTTTTACGTGAGAGACGTTTTGCATTTAGTGCGACGGAGGAATATATTCAATGTTACGAATTATATTACTGTAATAGCATTATGCGTAATGGCATTAAGTTGTTTACTGCACCGCGCGAGCGTAACATTTACATTTGCACGTGCTGCTTTGATGTATATTGTTGAACGCGCGACGTAACAGGCTTCGCGTGCTCGTACCGTAGTTAATTTAACAAAGCAAATTCGTCAATTCTGTTGCAGATGAAGACATCGATGTGGAATCGATAACGCCCAGGCAGGAGAGACCGGCAGCGAACTACAATTTTGCGAGGCGCCAGCCGACCGCGTCCCAGCGAACGTCAACTAGCACTCGCGCGAGGCAAATCGCGAACGTCAACGGGGCAGCCACTACCAGCACCGCCGTCCGCCGTCCTCGTGGCAGACCACCGGGCCCGAATGCCTTAAAACGAAAGTCTTCGGCCGATCAGCCGCAACCCGGCCCATCGCAGTCCGGCTCATCGCAGCCCAGCCCATCAGCTCCGAAGCGCGCTCGCGTTCAGAACTGTCACCAAGCGATCCAGCCGACTAACCCGCGATCTTCGACTTCTCGTGATCTGGAGGACACAGACAGGAGGAGGCTCCACAACGACATGGAGCGGCAGCGGCGGATAAGTATGAAGAACCTCTACGAAACGTTAAGAGTGCACGTGCCGGAAATCGCCGGCAACGATAAAGCGTCGAAGGTGTGTATCCTGAAACAGGCGAAAGCGTGTATTATGACGTTGAACAAAGATTACAGCCGCTTAGACTCTAGGCGCGAAATGCTGAAAAAGCAGCAAAAGCTCCTGCAGGAAAGGCTCGAGCAAGCTCGAAGAAGGAAGAACGGTAGAGTTTAGGGTGTCAAGCGAGAAATCGGATGGTGATGTCGTTTAATTTTTATTCTCTAAAAAGAGAAGAAAATTATTTTAATTAAATTTCAATTAAAAATTATGAACGACGATCCACCCTCGTGACGTATAAATTATACATGACATCGACGTGTAAATTAAACGGGAGACAAAAAAATTGTAAAGTCGCGGTATGCAAAGGACAATTGTTCTTATACATGTGTATCTGTTTTATTACATACAATATCAATATTTTTATCAAATTTTTATCAATATTTTCTAAATAGTCATATCAATTTCTGGATTGATGCGTTACTTTTCGAGCATTGTTATCAGCAAATATACAATTTTGTCAGTGTAATAAGGCAGATACACACTATGACACAATATGTACATACTATGACAATTTTATATTGAAAAATTTCTCTATTAACTTTTAATGGTAAAAATTATCAGTTTTCGACTTTTGTATGACTTATGTTGCGCTAATCGTTATCCTAACAGCAACACTAGTAAATTTTTTTATTAAATTTTTTTCAATTTTATGAAATTTTTTTAAACAGTTATATGCATCTTTCACGTTTTTGTATCTGGACCGGTTCTACTCTTTTTTGTACATTATATATATAAATGTGTATACGTATATATGTATATATGCATTGTATATACATATATGTACAGGGTGACTTAAAACCGGCCACTTGAATAACATTGACAACTCTGAAGACAGGAGAAAATGTTCGAAGTAAAAGTTGTTCGATATTGAAAAACTGATAATTTTTAACATTAAAATTAATGGAGAAATTTTTCACATTTGCGTTAAAAAAAAAATAATTTGATCGGCACACAAATCCCCTTTTCCGATTGATTCGGATTAAAGATATCCTTTTCGAATCGAATCGCGAAAAAGCGTAAAAGAAGGAAAAAAAAAACGCCATCAGTTCGCGCTCTTTAAACCGAATGCCAATTGTATTATATAATTATGTGAAGTGGATAGATAACGTTACTTAAGCCGCGATAAATACCTGAGATCCAAGATTGTCTCAGATTATTCGCGTTTCATTCGACGATTCGCTTTCCGCCTTTTGCCACACGGCCCTCCCGCGACCTGTTGCACGCCGACGAATCATCGGGGGAGCCGCATATTTTAATTTCCGTCGCGCAGATAAAGCGGATCGCAAACGGGCAAGTCGGAGGTCTTATCACGATATTGCTCAACAACCTGACTACCGGTTCCCAACCGGTTCGTCTTAGGGCGCGCTTCGAACTCCGGACCGGTTCTAATCGTTCTTTGCATTCATTTTGTAGATGTATACATAGGAGAGTGGGGGGGGGGGGGGAAAGGGAGAAAAGTGAAGAACCGCGGACCGCCCGGTTATCGCCGGTTCTTTTCCAAAACTCAATTAATTGGGGAAAAAGGGTGCGAGTTATCCCCAGTCGTCAGGGACTGGAAGAGCCGGACTTGTTCACACTCGATGAATCGGTCGACATTGGATACGCGAGATCTCGGGCGTGCTTCATTTGCGAAATATCACAATCAAGCGATTACAATATTTATGAGAACCAAACCTTGAAGAAGTCTGTCTTTCGCTTAAATTGACATTTACCGTATTCCAAGATTTAAAAAGCGCGATCTGATAGGGTTTTTGATAACTTAATGAAAGGGTGTTAAAAACGTATCTCTTTTACGTATTTCTGCGGAAGTGCAGAAGATATCTAATGAGAACACCTTATGCATATGTCTACGAAAGCAAAGCGGGAACGATTAGTTAATTCCAAACATGGAAGACGTGCTGTACTGAGGTAAGATTTCTACAAGCCGTTGTGGGGAGAAAAAAAAATTGATTCCACGATTACTCTTCTTCTTTTACGTTTTTTTCGTGACTCGATTCCCGTGGGAAGAGACGGTTCCGCGAGCGAGACAGTGTCGCGCGGAAGCACGTCTCCCCATTCAGGTTTCTTTTAGCAATGTTAAAGGTTAAGTGGCCGCTTTCGGGCACAGCCTAGTTAGTTGCAGTAAGTAGGAGCGTGAGATGATGAGTCAGCCAAGCAGCGTAGGTAGAAATAGCTCGCGCGCGCGCGCGCGCGCGCGGGCGCGTATTGGGCATCTACACGTGGCATACTTTGCTCGATTATCAATTCTATTCGATATAATAAATCGATATAAATATCGAGCGATGAAAAGGCAACGAAAGGAAGAGAAGAAAACTGTTCTCTTGATATCCGTTTGCTCGACGAAATATAGACGGCTTCTCTCCGCACGTCTAAAGCGGACAGGATCGGACACAGGCCACGCGTAAGAATTGTAATCCTTGGCGGCTCTTATTCTTATTATAGTTAGAAATATAGGCTGCCCCTCCTACGTCTCGTCTCGTGTCTATTTTTCACTCTTACACATCCGAAAAATCCGGTTTTTCTATCTCGCAATATGAGAGACTCTTCCAACCTCACGAGACTTTGCACGGCTAACATCGCGCTTTCGTATCGGGTGCAATAATTGCGAACCAGATCCGTCGTATTGAGACATATAATTGCTTTCCGATTTATGTTTTATTCCAGTTCGGTCGTCGTTGATGGGCGAAAAAGGGAATCGAGCAAAATTGTGGGATCGATCAAATTTGTTTTTTTTTTTGTCTGTTCGTTTGTAACAGCTCGATCCCGAATAGAAAATTTCACGTGTAACGCCTTGAGTAGTATACGGCACGTCGTCCACGTTTTTAATTAACCAATCGTTCTATATACGGTATTACTTCATTAGACACTTTCTGTGTCTCGCAGCCTTGAGACAGATACAGTTTTTAACAAGTAAATTTTTACGCACGTATGGGCAACGGATATAACAGATATAACAGATAGAAAGCAAGAAAAAGAGGAAACAGAAACAGCAACATAATGTGTTCATTACATTTATAGATAACAGTATTCGTTTGTATGCATATTTTTTACGATAGAAAAAAAATGGAAGATGAACGCGAAAGTGAGAACCTTTCGAGAAAAATACACACACTTAATTACATTTTACAACAATTATTTTACACAACAATTACTCTACACAACGGACGTACGCACGGAATACGCTTGCATGTACGCGAGAACACACATATATACATGACACGCAAACGGATACAGTTGAAAATGGAAAAATGTTATTAATTTAATGACACGGGAAATTTTTAATCGCTACCCAAGTTTAATATATATATTTATAAATACACACAACATATAGTAATACCTGTACGCAGTTCGGAACACGGAGCGACCACAGAGTTAGGTTTCCCGACGGCGGTCGGGAGGGAGATACACACATTAAATAAAAAAAAAAAAATCGAACCTCGCTTCATGCCGCTTATCTCCGCGGAAGTATGATGAGATTAATAGTGAGACTTTTCTGCGAAGAAAAAGTTTTTCGAAGACTTTTTTGCTCGTGACATCGATACGAATTATAAATGGGCGGTGCTGATTTCTCTTTTTTTTTTTTAACGATGATGACCCCAGGCGCGAGAACTTTTTTTCACTTCGACTTCTCGCGAGAATTTAAGAATGATTCTTCGCTGACAGCACTATTAACCGTAAGATCAAACGAAAGGAAACTCGACGATATACCTCGCAGCAAATTCCGTCCTCGGCGGAGGACGGAGGCCTTCTCTCCCTTGCTTTGTCGTACGTTTTTTGTTTTTTGCTCGCACGTGTGTCCGACCTGTGAATTCTCTGAAACGTGCCAAAAAATGGAATTTAGTTTGTTTATAATAGACTGAAATCGGCTGTCTACAGCCGAGTAGTTAGTGCAAATAATAAATGCCGACGTTGCATTGGCAACGGCCAATTTGTTACGGCTTTAAGTTAAAAAAAAAATATAGCTTCTAGCTTTTTTTTATTTTCCATTAATTTTTCTCAATTAACTAGAGCTATCTGGGTCTTCTCTCGGCAAGGACTTTTATTGAAAATTGCTCAGAGAGAAAGAAAAAGCAGATTTCGAAGTGAAATCACCTGATGATTGGCGAGTTGCGAGAGGGTTTTGTTTTTGTTTTTCTCCCTTCTGTGTAGTAAGTCTCCTTTAAGGAGTAGGGATAAGATGACTCTTATCCTTCCTGTTCTCTTATCTGTCGAAGAATGCTCCTTGAGCCACTTTTCATTCTCTTCGACGCGTTCGAGACGACAAATTAAGTTTTTCGCAAAATTAGGCTTTAGATATTTTGCAAAAAAAAAATTAAATAAAAGAGATTACTCTCTTTTCCATTTTTATACGTAAAATTGTTAGGATAATAGGCGAATATTGAAAAGTTGTAATTTCTAGTAATAATTATTTCAATTAGTTAAATTAGGGTGTAGATGTTTAGACCTAGATTAGATAAGTAATTAGGTTTTTTAAAAACATGTGCATTAAATCAATGGATAGGAAACCTCTCCTGAGGTTGTCGTCTCGAACGATGCTTTAAAGAAAAACATGGCATGTTAATAAGATGTCAATTTCGAGCAAATTGTATTTCGTTAAGCGTAAAAAAAAAAATGATGTGGCAGAGAGATATAAGCTGCTGACTCTACAGATCGGTCGATTTTGTATCGACTACCATGTGTAAGAATCGCGCGAAAGGAAAGAAATATTGTAACAGAATACTTTCGCGAGAACGCAAGTTAAATGTGCATAGTACAAACTTCGCGTATCTTTTTGTTCTGCGAAGTCTCGAATTTATATTCTTCAACTTCTTGCTAAGTTTTTGGTACTACATATTGATAGTAAGGAGAGACAGAGAATTGTTTCCGGCTGCTCCACCGAAATTTTAACGTAACCGTACAAATTGCTCGCAAATCGGGGGTTTATTTTTTTCCGAAAAACAAACATCTCGCGTCCGTCACAGAAGAGTGCACTCGTACCTGGTAGGCTGTAATGCTTAACATGTGTAGATACAATGTTAGAAGATAAAAATTAATAATATTAGACAAACCGTAAGAGGAATTAGTTTTTGTATTAGTTTTTGATCTATGAGCTAGCTTTAACTTAAATTTAACAAAATATAAAAGGGGGGCTCGTATAATTACAATAATACTGTATATGTATTATAAACAGTAAGCACGCGCGACACGCGAGCCTCGCTCCTTTTCACCTACACACGAACTTACTCCGACAGCCTTCCTATGTCAACACAACCGAGCGCTTAGAAATTTGTTTTTCTTTTCTTCACTCTCATCGTATCCTTGTTTTGCTTCGCCGCGTCACCGGTGAGCGAGGCTCGCTGTCTACATTTCGCGATCGTATGCGTGTATACGGGACACTTCATTTCGCGTTTAAAGGATAATCCTTCGGATCGTATCGCAGACCAGGAGAGGAGAGGTCTGATTTTTCGAAAACACAGTAAGATTTTTTTGTTATTATCGATACTAGTTAATGATTTGTTTCTCTGCTTTTTTCTAAAAAAAAAAAAAAATGGTTTTTGAATATACACTCCGTAATATATTGTAGAATCCGAAATGTGAAATGAAATATTTTGTATACGTATGTATTGCCTACTCGCCGTCGGGTTCCTGTTATTCGTTCGGACCTGTTACTCGTCGCAAGCAGCTCGCAGGCATCTCGGGTATGCTCGCTGGACTTTGTGTCGGCGATGTTTGTGAAAATGAGGTAAGTCGCCCCAATGACAAGGGGCGCAGATTCCCGAGATGTGACCGCGAGAGAGTTGATTTCTGCTAGAATTATAAATAATACCACGTGTACCTAAAAAAAAAACGATCGAGAAGGATCGGAGATAACTATAGTTTCTTACAATAGATTATATTTGTATATCCTTGAAGCTGCGGAAGCGACAAAAACGAAAAGACGGGAAACGAGGGGGGATCTTGACGGGAGTGGGATAGAGTGAGAAAATAGTAAATTGCGTATATTTTATGTAACTTAGATTTTTTATTGAGAGCAAGGAAGATATTTTTTATTTATCCTCTTTATTTTTATACGCGACGTCGCTACCGAAAAAAAAAATCATTTCGCGTGTAAATAATCGAGCGAGAGAGATTTGTAACGGCGATCGAAGTAGGTAACTGGTACGGCGAGCCGATAAGGGCTTAACTTTTTGCGCAATAGTAGAGAGAGATGAATAAGAAATGAATGATGCGTATATAGATTATACAGCTAAGTTTACATAAAAGAAACTAGGGAAATCATAGATGATTAATTGTAATTATACATATATAATTATGTATATGTATGCATGATTATATATGTATAAAATTATATATATATATAAAACGATGAAACTGCGATATACATATATTATATACAAATAGAATCTCTTATTTTTGCAAGAAAAATCAGTTTCAGAAAAGGA